CGGTGACGCCTTCATTCGCCGTTCCCGATGAGCCCGCCTTGCCCGAGGCAGTCCCCACCCTGCGACGAGATATCTGTGCCATCTTCGCCGACGCCCAACGCTCGACCACTGGACACCGAAAACTCGTGGTGCGCCTTCGCAAGCTTCAGGAAGCCTGCTGCGGGATCACGCAAAAGAGCTCAAAGAAGGATGGAAAGCGGGAACAGAGTCGTTCGGAGCTGGTCCTGCCGTCCGAGGAAACAATCCCCGAGAAAGAGTTCAACACAGAAGTCGGCCGCTGCGTGCTGCGCATTCTGCCTGTCAAGAAATCAGAGCCGGTAGGAGACCGGATCCTACGCTTCCTGGGCACATTCCTGCACCAAGCCTCCGAGAAAGACGCCGAGTTGTTTGCGTTGAACGAGGAGGAGGACGACGACCTCGAAAATGTAACAGAGACCCCGACTGCCCGCTTGACCACGACCTTGGTCAACCTCATCATACCCCTGTTGGTCGCGAAGGACAAGACCGTTCGGTTTCGCGCGACGCAGATCGTCGCGCATATCGTCAACTCGCTTGAAACGATCGATGACGACCAGTATCACGCTATCCGCCACGGCCTTCTGAAGCGCATCCGCGACAAGGAACCTGCTGTCAGAGTGCAGGCGGTGATGGGACTGGGCCGACTCGCCGGCAATGACGATGACGACGACGATAACGATGAGAGTTCCCGAGCCATCCTGGAGAAATTGGTCGATATTATGCAGAATGATACCAGTGCCGACGTGCGGAAGACGCTGCTCATCAACCTACCGCTGGTCCCAGCCACCCTCAAGTATCTCCTCGAACGAGCCCGCGATCTCGACGCTCCGACCAGACGAGCCGTGTATGCGCGTCTACTCCCTAGCCTCGGCGATTTCCGACATTTGTCGCTGTCAATGCGAGAAAAGTTGCTGCGCTGGGGCCTGCGCGATCGTGACGAAAGCGTCAGAAAAGCGACGGGCAAATTGTTCTACGATCGGTGGATCGAGGACTGCGCCGGTACCAACAAGGATCCCGAAGCTGGACCCGTGGGCCAGCGTTCTCCTCCCGACACCTCGGCGCTTCTGGAGCTGTTGGAGAGAATCGATGTGGTGAACTCCGGTGTGGAGTCGGGGATTGCTCATGAAGCTATGCGTGGCTTCTGGGAAGGGCGCCCCGATTACCGAGAGGCCGTGGTCTTCGACGAGCCCTTCTGGGAATCTTTGACGGCAGAATCTGCCTTCCTCATCCGCTCATTCAACGACTTCTGTCGCGTCGAGAACGAGGGCAAGTATGACAAACTTGCCGATGAGAAGATACCCGAAGTTACGGCGCTGGCATTCTATCTACACAAATACATGACTAGCCTTCTGCAGAAGAAGAAGTCGGCCAAAGAGGCCGGCGATGCCAACGAGGACGATACCGTTGAGAACGAATTTATCGTGGAGCAGCTGCTGCATATCGCTATGACTCTCGACTACAGTGATGAAGTTGGCCGTCGAAAGATGTACTCTCTCTTGCGCGAGTCTTTGGCCGTGCCGGACTTGCCTGAGGAGTGCACCAAACTTACAGTCGAAACATTGCGGTTTGTCTGTGGACCGAATGCTGCTGCTGAGAACGAATTTTGCAGTGTTGTTCTTGAAGCTATTGCCGAGGTGCACGACACAATCACTACGGAGGACAGCTTTGTTTCTGCTAAGTCGGAAATCAGCGATGCCAGTTCGTCTCGCGCCCGATCGGAGACGCCCCAAACCGAAGATGAGAAGCCTTTCAACAAAGAGGAGGCTAAGGCGAAGGTTCTTCGCGAGATTGTGGTGAATATGAAGTGTCTTCATATTGCCCTCTGCATGCTGCAGAATGTCGAAGGAAATCTTCAGGCCAATATGAACTTAGTAACCATGTTGAATAACCTGGTTGTCCCTGCCGTACGAAGTCACGAGGCTCCGATCCGTGAGAGGGGTCTTGAGTGCCTGGGACTTTGTTGCTTGCTGGACAAGGTAAGTTTTTCTTTCTGCATACCTGCGATAAACCTAGCTAATAAGTGCATGCAGACCCTGGCGGAAGAGAACATGACTCTATTTATTCACTGTTACAGCAAAGGGCACGAACTGCTGCAAGTCACTGCCATCCACATCCTTTGCGACATGCTGGCTACGCATCCCACCTTGCTCACGCCCGTAACTCAATCCGATGGAGAGACGGTAACACCACCGGTCTTCCAAAAGCCGTTGCTGAAAGTCTTTGCCAGGGCATTGAAGTCCAGCTCCCCGAACAGCGTGCAGACGGCCGCCGCCACTGCCCTTTCCAAGTTACTACTTACAAGCGCTTTTAATCCCGGCGGAACCAATGTGCCGCCGGCAATTCAGGAGTACAACCAGGCTGCTATCGAGACACTTCTGCAGTCACTTGTTGTTTCCTTCTTCCACCCGCGCACGCGTGATAACCTAGCACTTCGACAGGCCCTGGCCTATTTCTTCCCCGTCTACTGCCATTCTCGACTGGAAAACGCACAGTACATGCGCAGAGTGGCCGTGCCGGTCATTCGGGCGACATTGAACGCCGCCGAAGAGTACTACTCGCTGGAAGCTGAGGAAGACAGCGATGGCGATATTGACGAGACAGTCGGACAAAGAGAGCTGAAGGCCCTCATGAGCGGTGTCCTGGGCATGTTGGCGGAATGGACCGATGAGCGGAGAGTCATTGGTTTGGGTGGAGAGAAGGTCCTTGCGGGCCAACCGACTAGCTCGACGGCATGTGGCTTCCTTCATCTGGAGCTGGTGAAGGATATCCTCGAGCGAGTGCTGGGGATCAGCACAGGCACCAATCGCTGCTCGAAGGAAGAGAAGAAGCTTCTCTTCTCCCTTCTCAGCAAACTCTACATTACAGCACCTGTGGTTCCCTCACGCTCGGGATCTCGTGCTCCCGAAGGCGAGGACCCATTGCGTTCCAGCGTGCGCAGCGCACAGCCGGAGATCTCTCCCGAGAACGCTGCCCTCGCTCAGGAAGTCAAGGAGCTGTTGGACGAGACGATCGAAGAGGGGCTGGCTGCCGAAGCCGCCAGCCGCAATGCCCTGGTCAAGGTGAAGAACTCGATACTCAAGCTATTAGCGGCTGCCAATGGTCGTCCTGCCAGTGTGAGGATGCGAGAAGGCGACGAAGGCGACAGCGATGTCATGAGCGTGCGATCGATGAGCGTGCGGTCCGGCAGCGTGCGGCCCTCGATCGAGCCGGGGGCGATGCGTCGAGGATTCTCGGTTGAGCCGAGCATCATTGAGGAGGAAGACGAGAACGAGGACAGTCACACGACGGTGATCAAGGCGGAAATTCGCGAGGAGTAATTTGTTGATTTCTGGTCTGGTTGGATTGGCGTTCTCGGATTTGCGTCGGCGGGGGGGGCGGTTCCTTGGCTGGGTATCAGCATGCTGATGGGATTTATCATTTGTACTTAAGTGTTTCTTTTCTTTTTTCCTATTTCTGTTTTTTTCCGGTGACGAGTGTAAATGATGTAATGTTTGAACAGTGGAAATATTTCAGGTGACCTTTTTGGTTCTCTACTTGTGTATATGAGTTGCTGAATTGCGGGTGAAGCGGATAGTCTTATCCCGGATATGCTGGGAGCAGTGATTCTGAAGGTTGAAGCAGGAGGTCCGGTGGGACAGTCTACTGAGTTGGGAGCCCATTCATCTCACAGTCCCCCCCCGCTAGTGGCAGTTTAGACTGCCATCCATTATCAAATCAATGGCGCGACGCGACTTTCGGCTGCGGGTGGAGGAGAGGAAGAAAACGCGTCTCATCACGGTTGCTGTAGTTAGGTTGATGCAGGTTGAGCAGTGAAGTTGTCACACATGAATATCTTACTGACGAACAGGATTGCTGCGGAAATCGAGCAAGTTTTTCTTTTCGTTTTAGATCTAATTTGGCGCCGCTTTTTGTTTACTAAATAGCCCGAAGCGTGGGAGAAGTATAAAAGTACGTATTCTGGGTAATTTTGTAGACCCTGTACTATCTTCTTGGTCTCTTACTAGTACATAATAGTATCTCATTTCCTTACCCTAGTGATGACACCTGCTCGAGAGGTGGAAGATGCTTTGAGTCTCACTACGTGAGGCTAGCTGTTGAACTAGAACTAGCTCAGAAGAACCTAGGCGAGGCCGCAAAACCGCCGTCACCTATACCTTCAACATGCAATGAACATACCGGAGCGAAGCCGGAGTTCCAGCTTGGCATCCTTGAAGGCTCCTAACATCCAACTACACGATGGCTATACAGGCTCGAGAAACGAGGATGAATGTAACCTTTCAAGATATCGATTGCCTTGTCTCGCCCCGGTGTGTGTGAGCTAAGGTATTTTGCTCCCGATATTGAGGATATCCCGTATCAAACAATATCCTACGGTAGCATGACTAGGCGCCTCGTTTGCGCGGTCGTGGCGGCTCCCCTATTTGCACGTTTGTGCCGTCGTGAGCATTAAGCCGATGAGATTCTTAGTTCTGCGGTACAGTGCAGTACTATATACACATTTTTAATCAATTGGCCCGTTTACTTGCCGAGCGTTTACGAACCCGTTATGCCTGGCATACCGCCGCGACATTTGACTATTATCATGGTTTGAATGCTAGGCATCACTCTGACTAACATTTACCTGAACCGCCAGGCTTTGAGTGAGTATGGAAATGGATAATTGTTTCATGGTTCGTAATAGACAACGAGGGGGTACAAGCAGAGATGTGTAGCGCCCGATGTGTTGTTCGGTCTGTGTATATATATATATCTTGCTTCTACCTATGCAGGACAAGCTTGGACGCGTAATTCTCCTGTCGAGGTAGCTATGATGCTGCGTACTGAAGAGTTCTGGGACGAGAAAAATTGCTACATGGATCATATTAACCTCTTCTCCATGCACTTGGGATTTGGGACCAGGTTCAAACTTAATGTTTGTTAAGAGCGCATTGAGGTCGTAGTCGAACCCAAAGTAGGATCCCTGCTCAAGTTCGCGAGAAGGATTAGGGGTGCTGCCTCATTGGTACCCAGATAGGAAAGGGAAAAAGAAACCGTGGACTTGGGAGACCCCCAAGAGAAAAGAGACGGGGCCCCAGAGATCAAGAAGAAAGGCCAAGTACCAGACAGACAGGCGCAGAGCAGAGCACTGAAAGACCCATTTGTAAAATGCCCATGTATAAGTTACATGATAAGAACATCGAGCCTGCAAACTATTCCAATTACACTATTTCTCAAAGCCCCCCGTCCAACCATTGTGTCAACGACATGGCAAATAGACATGAATTGTTTCTATCTCCGAGCCTGGCGTCGACTCTAAAAGTCCACATACCGCTCTTCAAAAACATCGCAGGAATCTGAAAATCTAGCAACATGTCACTGCGGCCGCTACTGGGTAGGTAATCCATTTGAATACCATTAGAATCGCGAATAAGAAAGTGAGCTGCATCGTTGATGGAAACAGTTTTTAAAGGCATTGTAAGGGACCTTGGTTCCATGTAGCTACCATCTGGGTAGACAACAGAGGCGCTCACAGAGAGCGTCGCACCGACGAGGCCCTTATCAAAGAGTCCTCGTTCCTTCAGTTTGGATCCAGATAGACGACCGCGCAGGTAGACGAAAAAGACGCGGTCGCTGTAGGATGTCAGGACGTCATCATTTCGAGGCGGATATTAAGGGGGATCTTACGCGATGATAGGCGTCGGGGCAACCTCAAGGAACTCGACGTTCAATAGCTGGTCTTCCTTTGGCACGATATCGTATGTAGCATCGTTGTGGCCGGGAACTCTGTCTTCTTGGACCATAACGTCCACGCCGACGAGAGGCTTTTGCTGTACGGGGTTTGGCGATGCTCTGAATGACTAGTACGGCGACACAAAGACAGAGCCAGTGTGGGATATTCGACTTTATTATCTACCGGTGGTATAGATGACATTGAAAATGGCTTTTGGTGCGAGAGTGGGGAAGTGTTCAGGCAGCGATGAACAAGTGCTGGCTTTATGTTAAATGAGACCTGGGTGTCCTAGGGTGTGTGGTCCGCGCCACGCGGCGCAGGAACATGAGCGAATTCGGTTAGAGATCTCGCTACAGCAAGTAAAATTTGGTACCCTGTATACCTCAATGCTACGATAAGCCTTGGCAAGGCTCTAAGTAGGTGCCCGGAAATTGCTAAAATCAACTCTTTCTCGCACGTACAAGCACGTAGATAATGGTTGTAGCCTTTGTATTGCCTCCTGAGTTGGGTTCCAAACTATAGCCTACTAGGTAGCCCACTAGGCTGGCTATAGATTCGGATTTTGGTCTAGTAGTCGTAGCTGTTATATCACCTTTCGAGTTGACGGCGGACTTATTATACGCAAGAATGGGTAAAGATTCAGATTTTGGTCTGGTGATAGTAAATTTCTGTTAAAGGGGTTTAGGGTAGATTTAAGAAATAGTCACCATCATCGCCATATCTCCAGAGGTGCCACTCCCGACTTCTTTCGTACTTGGGTTATTCAATAGCACCATGCATCTGAAGTGTCTCTATCTTTGGGGCTTCTTCGCCGTCCCAGGCCTGGCAGATGACATCAACTTTGTTAACTATTGGAGGCAATGACGCAGGGTTATCAAAGTAATTCTCCCCATGTGTTGCTCTACACAGTGTAAAATTCTTACTGACGCCTGCATGATAGAATCTTGAACGACTGCATTTACAGAGCGTGATCTCCAGAAGACTGCCAGATCACGCTCAATACCCTCCAGCAGGAAATTGACAACGGAAATCTTCGTGATAAAGTCGACTACGCGATGTATCAAGTAGCACATGCAGGGTGGGAGGCCGGCGGCGCGAGTCCCCCGGGAAAGCTTCCAAGTGTTTGTTCTCGAGTATTTCACCTTCTTCGACGATGCCCTGAATCCCATATGCAACGATTATACCTGGGCATATTTTTCATCACGGATGGCCGACTAGCCACCCCTCACCCAGGAGCTCCGTCAGCAGCTCAATGATATGACCCGCAAGGTTAACGCGGTCATCAAAGCGGCAGCTCAAGATCTTCAGAGAATGGGCGTCATATATGTGGACGGTCTCCAAGATGCTTACAACGGCCACCGCTTCTGCGAACCAGGGGCCACCAAAGAGCAGACGGAATACATTGTGCGGTTCTGGTCGCAATACAGCCATTTCGACACGCCCTCTGAAGGCCGCGCTGAGGATGACGTCGAGGCCACCATACGACCACCATTCCCGGTACTCCGTTCGTTCCATCCTAAGGGCACGGCATATGCAGAGCACGCCACGGCGCTGTTTGCCGCCATAGCGGATAATAGAGCAGCGATTGCAACTGGCGGCGAAGGGCAGCAGATCGCTATTGCGTTGTATATTCACCCCCTAGGAGACCCGGGTTCGTGGGAACGGATCTTCGCATACGACACCAAGAAAGTCAGCGTACTGGTTGCTGATGTTCTGAACGGTCCAGATTATGTGGTCGATACAGTCTGGAAATCGATGATTGATCAAGCTGCCAGTCAAGGCAAAAAGATCCTTGGCTATGTTCGGACTGGCTACCTTGGCGTAAGTCAACAGCAATTTACAACTCGACTAGGCTCGCATGACCTCGCAGACTGGGCTTCGCAAATTGAACAAGATGTTGACAAGTGGTCGAGCTATATGGCACCAGTCTCGGCGGTATCTTTTTTGATGAAGGCTGGCCGGAATGCAGTCCCAACAATATTTACGCAGATCTGTACGCATACATCAATAATTATCGAAGCGGAAACACCCCGGCGTATATACAGTCCTCAACCCTGGCTCTCCAATCGCTCAATGCTTTGAAGACACTATGGATACGCTGTTGACATTCGAGAGCAGCTATGAGACTTGTATGAACTCGTTTGTACCTAATGATTGGATGCCAAAGGATCAGCGAAAGATATGGCACACCATCTACAAGGTACCACAGAATCAGACTGCAAGTGTTGCTGCCTTTGCGTCGAGCCGCAATGCAGGGTTGCTAGAAATTACCAATGATAATCAACCCAATCCCTACGATAATCCGCCCGACGAGGCTTATAAACAAGCAGTTATCGGGGCCGTACCGGGTGGTACGCCTTTTATTAATGGTCCGGTCAAAGTTATCACCTTCTACGTTGCTGGTCTTCCGAGTGATGTGGTTGTCTCTTCTACCGACTATAGCTCTGCCATCCTTATTTGATCATCAGTTGCGGATGCTCTTAGCTATGCGGTGTACAAGAACGGTATACAGGTCCTAGAACTGCCACCTTTATTAAATACAAGCTACCGTCGGCATACTCGAGCCAGGAACATCTGGTATTATCTTCGAGGTACGGTCGATTTTATCGTCAAACAGTGGAGGTCGCCAGCGGACGATCACAGCGCGCACGAAAAGCCTCCCGGAGCCTCGAGGGTACTATCGCCAATATGCGCTTTGAACAGAATGGTATTACCGTGACCTACAAAGCCGATATCTTGGTCCCATAAGAATTTGTGCGACTTTTCATCGGCATCAAACAACCTAGTTATAGCGGAGTCCATGGGTGGCCAATTCAGGTACCAGGCGTGGATGCTCAAGGTATCGCGTGGCATAAGATTGTCAACTACCTTATTAAAGGGAACGACTTTTACTCCGGCCTTTATAAATACAGTAGCGCTTGAGACGATACTAGCAAAACCAATGCGGATTGGACGTGGACCTCTATCGGACAAGCAACTCAGTCTCAGAATGATTACACGTATACTAGGAGCGTCCCGCTCGCTGGTACTAATGCTGTAGCCAGCAAGTATGTGATACAGGGTTAAGGGTATGCCCCAATCAAGAATATATTCAAAGGAACCCTTTATTCCTACAGGGAATTGTGAAAGACCCGGAAGAAAGTTATCTAAATGCATGAAGTCGCTAATGGAGTTGCTAGAGTAATGGGACTACTAGTAGTCAATAGTTCTACCTTTTGACCATGGATAATGGAAGAGTACCTACCGTACGGTAAGTATGGATGCAATTCATGATTCGGAAGCGAGACCGGCGGGCGGTGGATCCGGGTAGCTTGTCAATTGGCTGATGCCGACGACTGTCTTTTGCTCTTTCTCCCTCTCTCTCTCCTCTTAACTTCAATCAATACCTTTCACTTCGATACCTTACACTGCAGTATTCAATGGCAGTCATAGGGTCTGTCTGGACGAATCCGACATCCTATATCGACATTGTGTGCTTTCACTTCGGTAGGGAAATGATATCCTCGAGTCGGATAAGCAGGCAGGCAGTAAGGCGTCAGTCAGGTTTACCCGCGTCCGTGGAAAGTCCCCGTGGGACAGAAGTACGATGGCTTCCGTAACTTAATCTTTTTTTTTTTTTTGGCAATTCAACAGTTTTTTTTTTCTGACAGTCGGTCAGTCTGCATGGGCAGGTTGATCGCCATTGGTTGGGTGTCAATAGCAGTGAATTCAAATTGTATCGACCTCAAGAGCTTAGGTAGGTAGGTACTAAGGTAGGTACGGAGCAGCGAGGATGTGAACGGTCTTCGGGGGTTATGGTGGTGAAGGCCGAAAGGATTGGTCATACAATCGATTATTATTCACTCACAGACAGAACTAGGGTGGTTTTCTAGGCAGAAAGAACCAAGACCCGACTGACTGACCCCCCCATCGATGTATCGACTAACTGACTGTTATAGGGGCCTTTCCCAGGAGACTCGATCTTGACATCCCGAGTCGACTAGTAAATAAGTTTACCTTGTAGAGCAGCACCATTGGAGTAAGAGAAATTGAATCCCTTATATTTGACTATCCCCATTCAATGGATTGCAACAATTCTCGACTTGACATTGTAGTAACGTTAGTGGTGGTGAAATAATGATTAGGGAGGAACTGGCGACCAGAGACCGAGGGAGTAGGTTTTCTTTTAATCTCGACGCTCCACCAAAAACGACATCCGGGCCTGGGGACTTTCTTTTTCCTTCTCTCTCTCCTCCTTCCTCGATCGCTCTCTCACTCTCACTCTTGCTCTCTCTCTTGCTCTCTCTCACTCTCTCTCTCTCTTCTTCTCCTCCTCTCCTCCTCCTTCCCTCCCCTCTCTTTCTCCCTCCTCCTCTTCCCGCCCGCGTGTCTTTTTTTTTCCTCCACGACGGTCATTTCTCCCCGAGTCGTGAAAATCGTGTCGCCTGCCGGTCCTTGCAGAGACACGTTTTTTTAACCCTTTCTCTTCCCTTCTCCCCTTTCTCCGACCCGTCCGTGGTTCTTTCCCACACCCCCCCCTCTCCACCACTTACCACCCCCTACTGCCCGCTCCGTTGGCGTGAGAGGCAGTGACCGACCCAACAACACCTTGAGCGATGGCCGCCGTATCAGCTCCCACTCCTAAGCTGGATCGCTATATTGTTATCCACGTCGCAACCACCTGCGATGAGCATGGCGTCTACGTCACTAAGGATTCCGCCGAGGTGATTGAGTTGGGGTGGATCTTGTTGGATACCAAAACCTGCGAGGAGGTACGCATGAATCTTATTTGATTTTGTCTCATCTCGCTCGAGTCTTTCTCGTCCAATTCCAGCCTTCTCGTTGCTGCGCCCCTCTTCGTTGGATTCCCCTCACTCTGATAACCCTTGCTCGATCGCTGCGTTGCTGCACCGTCCCTCAACCAACCCAATCCTACCGGTCTTTACTCGGACAAAACTAGTCTCCAATTCAACCATCATGTTTGCTGACTCGGCGTCTCCATTAGTTGCACCATGAGAGCGTACTCGTCAAGCCTGTCAACACCCCCATCACGCCTCTCTGTAGTAAGTCTACCCAATCAACTTCAGCCTTGTCCGCCAATTCCTCCTCCCCGTCAGCCTCGATTCCTTTCCCTTTCCCTTTCCCTGCCCTCTCGGATACATCGGTTCGTTGGTTCAATGGCTGACGTTTCTCGACAGCGAGCCTGACAACTTTAACATGGGAGCATGTTCGCTCCGCAGGTACATTCCGCGATGCTATCAGCCGCTTCGACGCCTTCGCCCAGGAACACCTCGTCAACAAGAATCTCGAATTCGCCTTCGTGACATTGGACTCGTGGGATCTCCGTGTTCAGCTGCCTCGTGAGGCCCGTGACAAGGCCGTCGTGCTCCCCGCATACCTCCAACACTCGCGGACGTTCGACCTCCGGACCGAGTATCAGCGATGGCAGACTCACCACCCGGAGTCTCTGCCCTTCGGCCCCAGCTCTCTCTCCAACATCTGCGCCGCTCTCGAAGTCGAACCCGTGCAGTCCTCCGCCCCCATCAAGCATAACCTCCCATTCCACTTGCAGGCTTTGGCCCCCGCATCGCCGCGGAGAGCTATGGAAGAAGCCATTACGTTGGCCCGGGTGCTCCGTGGCCTGATCCGGAAGTCTCAGCCTCCGCACGAACATCCCGAGATCTTGACTCGCCCTATGGACGCCAGGGCCGATGTCCGGGCATTTTTGACCGAGCGCAGCAAGGTGCTCCACCTGAGCGGTCTACCCCACGATACTACGCAGTCGGAGCTGGAGAGTTGGTTTACCCAGTTCGGTGGACGTCCTATCGCTTTCTGGACTCTCCGCACTCCTGACCAGCACAAGCCCACCGGCACTGGATTTGCGGTCTTCTCGTCTCACGAAGAGGTAAGAATGGGAACTACGCACATGTCATACCGCTTGTCTAATCATCATTCCTCAGGCCGCTGAAAGTCTGTGCATGAACGGTCGTGCTCTCAACGAAAAAGCCATTGAGGTCTCTCCTTCCTCCAGCCGCGTTCTCGACCGTGCTGCTGAAATCCTGACGCCCTTCCCCCCCTCGAAGAACCGCCCCCGTCCTGGCGACTGGACCTGCCCTTCATGCGGTTTTTCCAACTTCCAGCGCCGCACCGCCTGTTTCCGCTGCTCCTTCCCCGCCATGGCCGCTGCCCCTGATCCGATGGGCTACGGTTACGGATACGCTCCCCCTTCCATGATGCCTCCTCACATGGGCCACGGGGGTCACGGCATGGGCCACTCCCGCGGTATGGGCGGCAATGGTGGTGTGGTTCCGTTCCGTGCTGGTGACTGGAAATGTGGATCCGAGGGTTGTGGTTACCACAACTTTGCTAAGAACATCAACTGTCTCCGTTGCGGTGCGCCTCGGTCTGGCGCTGCTGTCGTCGCTGACTCGGCTTTCCCCTCCCCAATGGACCCTCCCACTGGCTTTGGCATGGGTCCTAACTCCATGACGAGCACCCCCGCTCCCGGAGGCTTCACTGGATCGGCCGGTGGCTTCGGTGGCTTCAGCCAGCAGTTTGGTGCTCCCCCGAACAACTATGCCCTGCCCTCAGGCTTAAACAGCACCCCCAGCGGCTACGCTCCCATGGGCCAGATGAATGCCGGCTACGGTTCCTCGAACACCTCCCACTCCGCGGCTTCATTTTCTAACCCCGCCGCTCAGGCCGCTTTCACCGGTGCGGATCACACCACTTCCACGAGCGCGTCCAACGGCGCGTTCTATGGCAATGACGGTGCGAGCGACCCCTTTGCTTTTCTCTCCACCGGTCTTGGAGGATTGACTGTGGGCGAGGATGGCCACTCTCGTCGCAACGGAGCTGGTGCCAACAAGTCCCCGGCTTAAACGGCCCGGAGGCATATATTTGTCATTTCTTTTCTACGGTTGTTCCTCACGTTTTTTGTCCATATGAAGGTCTGGAATATGTTGGTATATGTGACGGTTGATATCCGTTGATGCGCATTTGTATAAGGAATTCTGCAGTTCTGGTGCATTCGGTTGGGAGGAGCAGGCCGGTAGCGTGTCGTCGTTTCAACGGGTTTGATCCTTTTTGTTTCGCCTGGTCTCGTTGCAGACCTTATCACAGACATTTTTTTCGGTATGTCTTACTATTTGCGCCATTGAAAGCGATGTTTGAGGATATAGAAGCCGGTCCTGGTAGGGTTGACGCTTCTGTCCACGGGAGTTTGCTGCGTCTTCATCGGCCGGGAGGCATTATATTTACCCCCCCAGAGATTCTCCGACGCTTTGGAATTCACGTGTGAAATCCGCTGGCACTTCGTGTGATTGTTTATTTCTGCTATGGGAAAACCTTCCGAGGTAGGCTTCGCCGGAGGTGGTGGCCGACTGGATGTGGATTGTGCTCGAGCATGGCATTGCATTCTAGATTTTGTCTTTCTTATTGGTTTTCCGCATTCATCTGCGCTCTTCGACAAGCGGGTTCATT